AATAAATAATATCTTTAGAATACAGAGTTGGTCTCGTAAATTACTCTGTAATTAAGTTGAACCAAAGTTAGGAAGTTTTGTTAGCATACGTTTGGACTGTAAATAAATAAATAATATCTTTAGAATACAGAGTTAAAAAAACAACAAAGAAACATGATAAATTGTATACAACTGCGGCTAATTTGTGTTCATTTGTACAGTTTGAAATTTAATGTTTGAAAGAAAAATGGATACCATTCTTATACACAAGTCTACTTGATAACTGATGCATGATTCTGTATAAACAGCCCTCGATGGTCGTAAACAATACTCAACATTCAGAGCTTCATAGATCCCTAGTGTATCCAATAATTTCGTCGTGGCCTCTTTTTTTATTCTACAACTATATATTTGTCTTTAATAAGAATTTACTACTTTTATAGCGATGGAAAATTCGTTTATGGAATTCAGTATATCTGAGTTCTCCCAGTGAGGCCATCATGAAGAGGCCTTTGCTGTACTTTGCTGTCAGAACTTTTATAAGTGGTGTGTTAAGTTGCCATGCCACATACGTTATGGATTCATGAATATATTCTATAAGCTCCTTATAAAAACAAGTAGCAGCTTAATTAACCCTAAATCAGACAGTGTGTCTTTAATCTGTGATTTTTTATTCATCTGCCTTTTGTTTATTTGCTGATAAAATCTTCCAGACGAAGATGATTAAATAAACAACAAGATGAATGTTCTGATTTCTGAAATGATAATAATATCTGAGAAGGATGATATTACAGCATAGTTCAAAAATAGATGTCTATACGTTGGGCAAAACCCGATAACCAATAGCTTCTGATCAAAGCAAGCTATTGTTTCACAGAACAAACTAAAAATTAAGTTTTTTGTTTTTATTAATGTTAAACAAAATGGCCCATCTGTTCTGTACTCACCAACGCGGGTACGGAAACACGTTTTTATGCATTATAAGCCTTCAGACTTCTTATAACTGAGCCACGTGGGGGGGGGGGGGGGGCTAAACATGAAGCCAGTAATTAGAACATCTAATTTAATATACTGGTCGAACTGAGAGCGTGCAGTATCAATAACCAAAAACTTATTACGATCAGAAATCATTGATTCATCAAATGGATACCCTCGCTGTCAGGAATTTTTTATGGAATATTGTCGGTAAATATAAAATAAAACTATTTCAAACAGTGCATATATAAATAATTCAAACACACAATTATCAATAGATGAGAATAATAACATATACACATATAACAATGATTATAATTTGTTACTCTAGTACCTAAGTAGGTAAATACAAAAACTCACGTATTTTATTTTCGTTTATTTATATGACGGGCCCTACAGAGAGTTTTTAGAAGCTTAATTAAAAGTCGAGTTGACTAAGGTTGTCTACGGGTAAATTAATGACTAAGGTTGTCTACGGGTAAGTTAATGACTAAGGTTGTCTACGGGTAAGTTATTGACTAAGGTTGTCTACCCTTAGTCATTAACTTACCCTTAGATAACCTTAGTCATTAACTTACCCGTAGACAACCTTAGTCATTAACTTACCGTAGACAATATTAGTCATTAACTTACCGTAGACAACCTTAGTCATTAACTTACCCTTAGATAACCTTAATCATTAACTTACCCGTAGACAACCTTAGTCATTAACTTACCCGTAGACAACCTTAGTGATTAACTTACCATTAGACAACCTTAGTCATTAACTTACCATTAGACAACCTTAGTCATTAACTTACCATTAGACAACCTTAGTCATTAACTTACCCGTAGACAACCTTAGTCATTAACTTACCCTTGTCTACGGGTAAGTTAATGACTAAGGTTGTCTAATGGTAAGTTAATGACTAAGGTTGTCTACGGGTAAGTTAATGACTAAGGTTGTCTACGGGTAAGTTAATGACTAAGGTTATCTAAGGGTAAGTTAATGACTAAGGTTGTCTACGGGTAAGTTAATGACTAAGGTTGTCTACGGGTAAGTTAATGACTAAGGTTATCTAAGGGTAAGTTAATGACTAAGGTTGTCTACGGGTAAGTTAATGACTAAGATTGTCTACGGGTAAGTTAATGACTAAGGTTATCTAAGGGTAAGTTAATGACTAAGGTTATCAACGGGTAAGTTAATGACTAAGGTTGTCTACGGGTAAGTTAATAAGCAACTAAATATGGAATAACAGGATTTCGAACGTTACCAGACGTCTGGATCCCTGAGATAAAGGTGTCGCCAAGATCCAGAGTTAAGATTTGGTTTTGGTTTCGTTTACTCAGTATCGTCTAATCATTAAGTCACGTGATCTGGATAACCGATAGGAATCAGAATAATAAGGTATAAGAAGGCTGGGATCGTACTCCAAGCTATGATGGTGAAGATTTCAATGTGCATCTCTAATAATCTCATTTGTGGTTTACCGTGGATGCGGAGGTTGTTCTTCTGAACGATCATAAATCCGTTAGGGTATTTTGGATCAACTTACCGAGAAAAACTCAATACAGGTGATGCTGATAATAAACCTTGTTAATGCGTATTCCGCGAGATGCCGCTCTTAGAGGAGGGAGGATAGAAATCGGTATCAGGCACATTAAACCCGTGTCCCACCCCTTCCTCCCGGAGTCCCGAATCTAGCAAGAGGTCCCTCCCCTAAACCCAGAAGATTAATACCGTTATTGATACAATGTATCGACGTTACTTTCAAAGTTTCGACCCATCATGAGTTCTGCCCTATGAAAACTGCTTCCAAACGCCGTAAGGGGGAATTTCCTTGATCTTGAATTCAAACTACTTCGTTGATGAGATCCTGAATCCCACTCGAGGTCTCCTAGCAACCTTCTCCAACATAGCTTTTATTCAGCATGATCTATTCTTTAATCATCAATATTCAGTACCATTCTCGGCTGTCAGTGAAAACAAAAAAAACTGATTTGTTGCTGGAGAAGATGCGAAGCTCGTGCCCTTTCGTATGTATGACCATCGTGGTGGTCGGCGTGTCCCTTTCATAGTTCAATGACGAACGGAAAAATCAACTCCGACCAAGAAAACAAATACTACGTTATTTCTAAAGCCATTCCTCGACCGTTTCGTTACCCTTAATTTGAATAAACTTTGAGTTACGTAATTAACATAATTAATATAAAAGATTGTTATGTAAATTGTATTTAACATAGCTTCCTAATTACTTATGGCTTGAAAAATGTCCTCTGTGTTGAATGAAAACTTTAACAACATTAGTACATTAACCAACCGTTCCTTTACCTGCCCCACAGGTAAAGGAACGGTTAGTTTTGATCAGGTTAACCCACAGGTAAAGGAACGGTTAGTTTAATCGTATTAACCCACAGGTAAAGGAACGGTTAGTTTTGATCAGGTTAACCCACAGGTAAAGGAACGGTTAGTTTTGATCAGGTTAACCCTTAATATGATCAATACCAACCGTGCCTTTACCTGTAGGTTAACCTGATCAAAACCAACCGTTCCTTTACCTGTGGGTTAACCTGATCAAAACCAACCGTTCCTTTACCCGTGGGTTAACCTGATCAAAACCAGCCGTTCCTTTACCTGTGGGTTAATATGATCAAAACAATCTAGGTTGTTAAGGTGTTAGCCTCGTAATCTGAGGGTCGCGGGTTCGAATCCTCGTCCCACCAAACATGCTCGCCCTTTCAGCCGTGGGGGCGTTATAATGTCAATCCAACTATTCGTTGGCAGAAGGGTAGCCCAAGAGTTGGCGGTGGGTAGTGATGACTAGCTGCCGTCCCTCTAGTCTTTCACTGCTATGTTAGGGACGGCTAGCGCTGATAGCCCTCGTGCAGGTTTACGCGAAATTCCAAACCACAACAAACCCATTATCGTATCAGATAGTCAGTCATCCAGTCGGAATTTGTATATTTGGAAGTAGTCCAAAGTAGGCATGTCAGATATAGAAAAAAATAAAACGTTAATAGCGTATACACGATCATGTTACACAACATTAAAAACAAACCCGTCAACACTTACGACAAATACAAATTATAAGTAATTAAAGAAGGGTTTCAAAAGTGTTACGACACTTACGAACTCTGTTTACAGACCCCAAGTTAAACAATACAAAAAATGATAAATGTGTTGATTGTTGCTGACGTCATCTACTCTCCAACTATTTGCTCTTAAGAACTAATTTCCTTAGAATGTCAAACAATTGAAATAATCTCATAAGCACGAGAAGAATGCTGAAATTTACTGCCTTCTTTTATAAAGGATTATATAACAACTTTAACCTAGTGGCGTCAACTTCGTTTGATTACAAGAATGAAAATTACTGTGTTTAAAAGTGGCTAGTTGCAATCCCAAGCTTTAATTTGAAGAATGTAACATCAGTTAAACGCCTAAAAGAATGTAACCCTTTTAATTGTTACGTACAAACATGAATGACTGTTCCCATAGCAACAACGATCTGGATGAAAAGCCATACTAGTGAATTAAAGAATATGAGTCTTGTAATCATTAGGCACAAACATGAATAACTGTTCCCATAGCAACAACGATCTGGATGAAAAGCTAAACTACTGAGTTTAAGGATATGAGTCTTACAGTTATGAGGCACACACCTGCATGATCATTTCCATAGCAACAGTGATGTGGATAAAAAGTTTGTCGGCGAATTCTTTGTAAGTCACTGACATCAGAAAGATGATGTCACAGAAATTATAAGTTGATGGCAACGAAACTACAAGTTTTTAAGGTACTGACATAGAATATTCATGTTTCTATTGACGATGTCAGCAGAAACTAACAGTTTATAAAAATGATGACAAAGAAAAAATTTATAAGGATGATGTCACCAAACTACAAGTTTATAAAACGTATGTCAACAGAAGGTACACGTTTCTAGGAATAGCTGTATGTTTAAGCAGTTTAAACGACAGTTTTCATTGTTTTGTCATCTAATAACATCGACCTCAAATCAAACTTTCATAAACTCTGACTAGTATTGGTCCAAAGTTTGTTTCTGTATTGTACTTAGAGACACGTGGTAGGATTGGATCTCTTTAAAACTTTTAAGCTCTGTCATTTAAGTATTGGACCGTTTTTTATTGCTTTTGTGAGAGAGATTGTCACAGTTTATCCGTCGACGAGGAAAAGTAGTTACCAAGTTCTAAAAAATGATCGTTTCTGTTGTCATATTTCTCTTGCAGTATAGAATCACCATCATCATCGTTCAAACACTAAATCCACCGTTTAAAGACTTATCAAGTGTTACAATAATACATCTTATCGTTCAACATTGTGTCTCTTGGAATTATAATTCCTTCTGAGTTTGTATCAAAATTCCTATAAGATTTAGCTCGCTGTATTTAAATTAGGAATGATAGACGATGTTATTTGTCTTTCGTCCTTAAACTCGTGTGAATTTTCCTTACTTACATTAATGTGTATTTTGTGTAAGAATTTCATGACGACACATCAAGAACCATTCTCAAAATGTACGAATTATTCAATGATATCAAAAATATACCTCATATTCCCCTCCCCCCAAAAAAAAGATTAAACAGAACATTATATAATATATCATCGAAAGGTTTGACAAAATTACACAGAATATCTATACTGAAATAACTTTAAATAATTTAATATATTACCATCAGAAGAGGCAAGGAGTTATATATATAACTATAAGAGACATATTACTGCTGGAACATGTAGATAATATCTGGTAGGGTTTGATGTTAATTTTTATTATACATGTTTTTACCTTGTAATGTGATTCAGTTTTACTAACTTTTGCACAAGTGTCATTTAATCATATTTCAATTATTAATTAATTAATTATTATTATTATTAATTACCACAAATTAATCGTAAATAATTATACTGAATTGATTTTCAAATGGTAAGAATTCAGATCCTACTAAAACTTGGTTTGTAAATTATAGTTTAATACTTACATAGAGTAAAATAATAAGCTTTTTTTTTTCTGCTTATAAGGTTAAATGTTTGTAATAAAACTAAAAGTCGTGACATATTACATATTGCTATTATTTATAAATAGATTTTTTTTTCGGATAAAAATGTCTCATTTATATGATTCTTAGGCCTAGTCTGTCAAATTAACAATTGTTTCACTTGTTATTCTTAGGCTTAGCAAGTTAGATGAACAATTGTCTCAATTATCTTATTTTTAGGCTTAGCTGGTTAAACTAACAACTATAATACTTGTCTTATTCTTACGCTTATCTCGTCAGATTAACAATTTCTCACTTATGTGAATTTTAGACTTAGTAGATTAGATCAATAAGTGGGTTGTTGGCTTCTTAATGAGTGAGTACGTATATATGACTTGGGATACATCAAAAAGACAGGAGCGCTATGTTTATAACATTTTGATGGGATATACAAGTCTCTCTAGCCTTGCACAAACATACGCTAGGCCTAACATATTAAGTTGCTCTATTTACTTAACCCTTATAGAATAAAAAAAAATACTTTTTTTAAAGAGAAACATAAAATTATAGTTTTGTTTTCGCTGCACTGGCAACCATTTATGAGTTTCTTGCTGATTTTCGTTCCCTTTGATCTTCTCGTATTTTAATCAAAACAGATGCTGAGATAGCTCGGTAATGAATTGGCTTTAGTTAGTTAATTCAATCCTCCAGTCCTAGCGGTGGAGCTGGCGTTAACGACTCCAGCTATTTTCAAAGGGAAGAATATCGTCCTGTTAAAATAAAACCCATATACGAAAGGGGAGTAAGGCTTAGATTTAAGCCTACTTTTGAAGTGGTTACTTTCTTGTTGTATACGAGGCATCAAAATAAACTAAGTTTTTCGTCTCACACTAACTGTCATGTCTTGAAGTTTAATTCATTTAGAATGACAAGTAAATAAGCAAGTAACCATAGAGATGATCTTGGCAACTTACTGATGGATTAGATGACCCCTGGGTCCATCAGATGCAGCTGGGGAATAAAACAGTGACCTGATTAATAGAGAAGATAAAAAACCTTTGGTAATGAGTTATCTGAAGGAACGCTTGCAATGTATCGAATTACTGTTAACTTTAACAACTTTCATGCCAGCACGACCACAGGTCGATACTATTTATTTGCTTGAGAGGTTAGGCGTTGTTGATAGAAGCTAATCATCTAGACATAACAATAATATTTAGAACGTGAGCCCAAGATGAAAGGACCTGTCTTTAGAGAGATGTTACTGGTTTGAGCGACGTGTCTTCTTCGCGTGAACGACACCTTGTTTATTCGTGTAGTTTTTGTTTACTTCTAAGGCGTGGTTGATTGTTTTAGACGCTGACTCGTTTCTGCTTTTACAAAAGATTTGTTTGTTTGTTTGTGTTTGAGCTATGTGCGTCAGTAGACCTTAATTTAGCAGTGATAGACTAGAGGGAAGGCAGCTAGTACCACCACCCACCGTTAACTCTGGGGCTATTCTTTTACCAACGAATAGTGGTATTGACCGTCACGGCTGAAAAGGCGAGCTCGTTATGTGACTGGGATTCGATCCCACAGATTGCGAGTCGAGTGCCCTAAACATCAGGCTATGTCAGGCCTTTGTATAAAATAGATTTTTTTTAAAATCCAACATCAAGATTATATAGCTTAGCTTTGAAGTTCTACTCGTGCGTGGACAAACCTTCTCCAAGTCCAGGGCTAATCTAACGAAATGCTCTTCGCGTGATTAAAGTAAAATGTTTATCTAGATAGAAATTAGGCTGGAATTGGAAATGGACGTGTGCAGCATATGAAAGGCTGGACCGCTTTTTTTTAGCGCTAAATCGAAGCTTTCTTTCACAATAGAAGAATTATCGTGTGCTTAACTCTACCCGGATTGATTGGAAATAGCCAACCGTTGGCTCTCTATGACTGACCAAAAGTGTCTTACCAAGTTCACGTGCAAGTACATCAGGGAGGTTGAAAACTTGGCACGTTGTTCAACTTCATCTCCAACACTATAATTAGTTTACAGCTATTTTCGTACAGACAGGTTTCTTGTTGTCATGATGATATCTCAGGCACTTTTAATTTTCTGAAACAACTTGTTATAATCTTCTAGGAACGTAAATTGCTCTTCGAAACAAATATAACTCTGATTATATAGAACTAAATTAAATTTTAAAAAAAGCAAAATAGAAATTGAGGAAAAGTTAAACGAATATGTAATAAAGAACCATTTAAACCCTATAAAACTATATTTAGCTACTGAATGTGAGAATTTAAAATTTGATTTTGTATCAAATATCGAGAATAAAAATAAGTATTTTAGGCAGTTCTGCTAACTCGACTTCGACGGTTGCGCCACCTAGCAGAAGTTAGGAGAACCTTCTTCCTCCTGAATGTAACTCTCAGTCGTGCTTCAGTGGGCGTTTTTAACGCCCGAAGGCGGATCTAAGGGCGGAAACGTGAGCATTCATTGGAGTAATAGAACTTGGCTTTGTTTCCGCCCGCCTCTTCACATTTCTTCAATCTGCATGTTTACACTTTTCGCTTACATTTTCTTACAGTAATTACTTCCAAACTAAAATTGACTTTACTTGAGATAAAAGTTTGCGTCACTAACAACAAGTAAATTCGTAATAAGCCGACTAAAAGTAAAATGTCATCAAAATGTTCAGTTCTTGTATAAACCTAGTCTCGGCAAAGTAATCTTACACGTTACTTTCTACTATTATCTGCTATGCTATCCCCAGTGGCACAGCGGTATGTCTGCGGCCTTACAACGCTAGAAACCGGATTTCG